CAGATTTTTAGAGGTCTGTTCATACTCTTGGGAGGCCTGTTCATGCATGGCTACATGGAAATTTGAACAGTTTTTTGCTTGGAGGCAGCCGGCCATGAAGTGGCCACATTCAAGGTGTTTTGGCTAAGAAAAATTAGTATAAAAAGAAGGGAGTTGCTGCCCAAAAAAGTGGAGGTGGTCTGCAGAAAAAGTAGAGAGAAAAAAGAGAGGAAAAATGTGTTGCTTCCAGAGAAAAACCGCAGCAGGCTGTTCAGAAGCAGAAGCTTTGGTTGTGATTTTTTGATGGCTTATTTTGTGAGATGTTCTTGCTAAAATATTCAGATTAGTTTTTCCTTTGTATTCCTTGATATTGTGATCATTCTTGATGACATATAGAAGTGTTTATTGAGTGAAATTAGTGTGGTAGTGGAGCAGATTTTTTGTTCTCTGTTGACTTATTTTTGTGTTTCTTTAGTGATCTATTTTGCTTTCAATTCCCAACAAGTACAATATAAGTCGTATCTATTTAGGGTTCTATTTGATTTTCATATAATTATCAAGTAGTGTTCGATTCATAAGAGTGACATGATTTATTATTTGATTTTAGTGGTGACAGACTACCTTTTCAAGTTAGTATGGTTCAAATGGAACATTCCACAATTGAAAACCCTCATGGTCACACCAAGTTAATCTTATTGTCATTTCGATATGATTCCTATAACTCTGTTGAGTCAAATTTCAAGGAATTCAATTTCATTAAGTTAAGTCAAATTTCAAGAAATTCAATTTCATTAAGTGATCTTAATTCAAAAATTCATACAAATGAGAAAAAAATTATTTCACATTTAACTTAATCCGTCCATTAACCTACGTGTGTGTGGTTGTGAGAGAGAGAGAAAGTTGGCAATAAGATTAACTTGGTGAGGATTGAGGACTACCTATAAATTGCTTATTCAGTCCAATGAAAAAGATTGAGTACAAAAACATGGGTCATCATCTGCTTTTAGTCACCAACTGATGCAAGTTTTTTTCGGAAGGCAACTCATGCAAGTTAGATAGGATAAAATGTATAATAACCAAAAAAAAATATTTTTTGCAATTGAAAATTAGTCCCTCATATTTTTTTACACATCCTCGTATTTTTTTTTTTTACTTATGGGAACATTATAAACTACAGATGAACATGGATAACAACGTACAAATTTTAGACATAAAACAATCCAGGTATGTGAGAATCAAACTTTAAATCTTAAGGTAATATCCATTAAATCTTTTTCAGTTGAACAACTTGACATTTGCAAACTTGAACTAAAATTTCATACGAGTTTAATTTTTGAGATATACAGCTCGAAGTTTAATTCGGATAAACATCGAGTTGAATTTGGGTTTGAGTGTCGGGGTTACTCAACTTGAACTAAAATATGGGTTTGATTGGATTAAATTGAGGTTGAAACTGGATTCCATAATTCAAATTTGATTATAAAAACTTCAAATCCCAACTCAAACATTGCTCAATCTAAATCAAGTTGAGATTTCTTGATTAACTCCAAACTCATTACTAAAAGAGCAATGTTATTGAAACCTAATTAATTGACCTAATTTGCTGACTTAATTCACTGTGACCATTGGATTGACTATGGCACTCATCAAACATTGAAACTTGGTGTTGATCCAATTGTTCTGCTAAAGCCACATCATTATATCAACAAATTAAATCAGACTTTTAGGTCCAAACAGTATTACTCTTACTAAAATTATTGAAGTTCATAATGACCCGCTCAAGTTATCCTACAATATATGCTATAACGTCTTTGTTTCGAAAAAACAACAAAAGGGGAAAATAAGAGGGACTTCAAACTATCTGGATTTGGTGAGCAGTACTAATAACTTCAATAAAAAAAAAAAAGCAAGCTTGGTAGGATGTCATTATCGCATAAAATCTTCATGCATACGTCTTGCTTTTCAATGTAATTAATTGTAAACTTGTACCATTGCTATTATTTGAAAATGACTGTCATTGTGTTATTCGAATTCGATTCAATGTAAGAGTGTAGTATAGTGCATGAGACCAAGTTTGGGGAACCAATTTTTTGCAATTTTTTTTTAAAAACAAGTTTTTTTTTAACAAAAAAATAAAATAAAATAAAAAATAAGTTGAAGTATCCAAATGAGTTATTGTATGAAGTCCTCATGCATCCATATTATGAAAAACAAGCGTGTCGTGTTATTTTGAATGCAATGGTTCAATATTTATGGTGATTAGCCCGATGGCTGAGTGTAGGATATGCCTCCTATCTATAAGTCCTTATACCTTTCCATCACACGCCTTCATTTCCTCACAAAATCTATTTTTTAAAAGAGTAATTCTATACTAACTAAATTTTAAGATCAAATTAAGAATTCAAATGACATGATACTTGATTATTAAAAATTTTTATTGGGGCCCAAATCAGGCGGCATGTCATTTGGGCTCTTACTTTGATTCTAAAAATTTGATCAATATAGCATTATTATTTTCAAAACCGAAGTGCTTGTGTTGATGGAATGTCCCCATTGTTTTTGGTCTTATTTAAATATGTTTCTTCAAAATATGGGCTTAGCTAAAGCAGGTATGATTTTCATCTACTCTGGATATATATCTATAATATAAAACATGACAAATTTCAGTAAGTTTATTCGAAAGTCTCAAATAGACTCATTTAACGGTTACTAATATCTTTCTTAAAACTATTCACATTGCACTGTGTCTTATAACACAAATTATGTGTAGTATCTATATAATAAAGTAGTTAGATTTTTTTATCTTTAGTTTTTTGCGGCTCAGATCTCTTAATGATTATTGATCCGACGGTTCTCATACCAAATTTTTTTAAGACTCCTATCTCTTATTTAACTCTCTCTCTATCTCATCTATACTAATAAGATACAAGTGATTTCAAACTTCCTAAATTAAAATCAATCTTCTCAATTTAGAAAAACAAAAAGAGTGGTTAGGATTTAATTAAAGTTTAAATATACAGTTCAGATCTCATCTAAATTTATAAAATTAAATTCAATGGATCACAATCTAAGGGATTTGATATTATCCAGAATTCTCCAAAATACAGTNTTTATTTTTCAAAAGAGTAATTCTATACTAACTAAATTTTAAGATCAAATCAAGAATTCAAATGACATGACACTTGATTATTAAAAATTTTTATTGGGGCTCAAATCAGGCGGCATGTCATTTGGGCTCTTACTTTGATTCTAAAAATTTGGTCAATATAGCATTATTATTTTCAAAACCCAAGTGCTTGTGTTGATGGAATGTCCCCATTGTTTTTGGTCTTATTTAAATATGTTTCTTCAAAATATGGGCTTAGCTAAAGTAGGTATGATTTTCATCTACTCTGGATATATATCTATAATATAAAACATGACAAATTTCAGTAAATTTATTCGAAAGTCTCAAATAGACTTATCTAACGGCTACTAATATCTCTCTTAAAACTATTCACATTGCACTGTGTCTTATAACACAAATTATGTGTAGTATCTATATAATAAAGTAGTTAGATTTTTTTATCTTTAGTTTTTTGCGGCTCAGATCTCTTAATGATTATTGATCCGACGGTTCTCATACCAAATTTTTTTAAGACTCCTATCTCTTATTTAACTCTCTCTCTATCTCATNCTGACGGTCCTCAAACCAAATTTTTTTAAGACTCCTATCTCTTATTTAACTCTCTCTCTCTATCTCTCTCTATCTCATCTATACTAATAAGATACAAGTGATTTCAAACTTCCTAAATTAAAATCAATCTTCTCAATTTAGAAAAACAAAAAGAGTGGTTAGGATTTAATTAAAATTTAAATATACAGATCAAATCTCATCTAAATTTATATAATTAAATTCAATGGATCACAATCTAAGGGATTTGATATTCTCCAGAATTCTCCAAAATACAGCCACTATAGTGTAGCAATAAGTTTCCTACAATTTTGTTATTCTTTCCTTTTATAACGGTTTTCAAAATGATCTATTCATTCTATATATTCTNTCCTATCTATAAGTCCTTATACCTTTCCATCACACGCCTTCATTTCCTCACAAAATCTATTTTTTAAAAGAGTAATTCTATACTAACTAAATTTTAAGATCAAATTAAGAATTCAAATGACATGATACTTGATTATTAAAAATTTTTATTGGGGCCCAAATCAGGCGGCATGTCATTTGGGCTCTTACTTTGATTCTAAAAATTTGATCAATATAGCATTATTATTTTCAAAACCGAAGTGCTTGTGTTGATGGAATGTCCCCATTGTTTTTGGTCTTATTTAAATATGTTTCTTCAAAATATGGGCTTAGCTAAAGCAGGTATGATTTTCATCTACTCTGGATATATATCTATAATATAAAACATGACAAATTTCAGTAAGTTTATTCGAAAGTCTCAAATAGACTCATTTAACGGTTACTAATATCTTTCTTAAAACTATTCACATTGCACTGTGTCTTATAACACAAATTATGTGTAGTATCTATATAATAAAGTAGTTAGATTTTTTTATCTTTAGTTTTTTGCGGCTCAGATCTCTTAATGATTATTGATCCGACGGTTCTCATACCAAATTTTTTTAAGACTCCTATCTCTTATTTAACTCTCTCTCTATCTCATCTATACTAATAAGATACAAGTGATTTCAAACTTCCTAAATTAAAATCAATCTTCTCAATTTAGAAAAACAAAAAGAGTGGTTAGGATTTAATTAAAGTTTAAATATACAGTTCAGATCTCATCTAAATTTATAAAATTAAATTCAATGGATCACAATCTAAGGGATTTGATATTATCCAGAATTCTCCAAAATACAGTCACTATAGTGTAGCAATAAGTTTCTTACAATTTTGTTATATTGATTTATTCTTTCCTTTTATAACGGTTTTCAAAATGATCTATTCATTCTATATATTCTATGTCCATATCAATTGATAAATATAGAACAGAGAATCCTTTTATTCTTTCGCACCAAATCACGCTTATAACTTGCATCACCTAACCTCTGCTATATCAAACTTACATAATGTACCCCAAATTCATCAAAAGAAAAAAAAAACTTCAACCTTCATTTCACCCATTAGGTGGGTCAGGTGGAGTTACATTTTACAACTTGTATCAAAATCCACTCCCACCAAACTGCTAATTAGATCAACAAAATTATTTTGAGTTCAAGTAATATTGGTCGCTCACCTCCTCTTGTTTCTGCATCCAAACAACAAAGCAAAGTAAAACATAATTCTGAAGAAAAACCCCAAAGCAAAGGTGACCCACAAGCAATTCCATTTGCTTATCTCACTCCCTCCAGTTTGTTTCAGAATATCCACTCCAGTAGTCAAGCAAGTGGAGCTAGTAATGTTCATGCCCAAGGTATCGCTCATCGTCTTTAATAGTTTAAGCTTCAAAAAATCGGGAACAGCCACTAATGGCGTATTATCAAACACCTGAATCCCCTTGATGAAGCATTTTGTTGGGTCATCAAACTCGTTCTGTAACACCCCTTGGTATGGATACTTCACTAGGGAAGCATAGTGGAACCAGAGCCAATAAGGAGGGATTCGATCTCTGGTGATGAAGAAGCCGCTGAAGAGGACGAAGTACGCTAAAATGGCGACGACGACTGTGTAACCCAACATCACATGAGACACAACACCGGAAAGGAAGGTGACAAAAGAGTTTCCGGCGAAGAATGACGCGAAGATGAAGAAGAAAAAGAACAAAAACCCAGAAAGTCCGCCGGCGAGACCAACCGCCCAGAAGGTGGTTGCTGCAAATGCCAATGAGAGGAATAGGAGAGAAGGAATGGAGATGATGGAGTGAGAGAGAACGTACGATGAACGACGATAAGCATTGTAAGCTGTCTCTCTCATGAAGATGTATCGTTCTTGAAGAAAGACTGGAATGGCTTCGGCGCAAGTGTAGAAGGTGGTTGAGACAGCGAAGGCGAAGAACCCTAATCTTTCTTGAATACCTTTTGGGGTATTATCGAGCCTCCAAAACATGGTGGCTAAGATTATTCCGGTGATCATCACAGCACCTAATCGGATACCGAAGAGCTCCGGCGACCGCCATGAGTTTAGTAATGATCGCTTCCCGATCACTATCATTTCAATCCAAAAAGGGTTCGCGAACCTTGGAACAGAAGATGAGAGGTTGGCATCTACTATGTTTGTTGCTCCAGAGACTAGCTTTCCTCGAGAAATGCTTGCGCTTATGGCGTCTTTGAGAGACAATTTTGAATCTTTTGATCCATTTTCTGAAATGTTTCGACGGTTCTTCATTTCCCATGATTTGTTGAAATCAACCAAATTTTTGGTTCCATCAGGAGTGCCTTCGAGCTCTCGGATAAAATCAAGAGCAAACTCAGTTCGATCCTCGTTTTCTGGAACTGGGTGTCCAAACTCAGAGAAGAATTGTGGAACACCATCCGGAGGGCCAATGTACACCGTCTGTCCTTGTGAAAGAAAGATCAAACTGTTGAGCAGGCTCATAAGTCTATAACTTGGTTGATGTATCGACAGGATCACAATGCTTCCAGTTTGAGCAATCCTCTGTAAGACCTTCACCACCATGTAGGCACTGGTAGAGTCAAGCCCCGACGTGGGTTCATCGAGGAACAGGACGATCGGATCATGAATAATGTCAATTCCGATGGAAACTCGACGTCTTTCCCCGCCGGAGACTCCTCTATGGCCTTCATCTCCGATCACCGTCTTGGCAGCACTTTCCAGGCCTAACTGATCGATCAATGCTTGAACTCTTGCTTTCTTCTTCGACTTTGAGAGAGTACGTGGTAGCCTAAACTCCGCCGAGAACATGAGCGTCTCTTCCACCGTTAACATCGGAAATAACAGGTCGTCTTGCATAACATAAGCTGATATAATTTTAAGAAGTTTAGACTCCAAAACTTCACCGTTCAAAGTAATTGTTCCCTTCAAGCTCTCTCTGGATATCCGATGAGCAAGTGCGTCGATCAAGGTAGATTTTCCGGAACCACTAGCCCCGAGAACGGCCATGATCTCACCTTCTCTCGCTTCGCCCGAGATGTCATTTAATAACACCTTCGTGCGAGTCACCTGATTTTCAGTCATACCTTCCGGTGGTTCAGGCGTTGTGGTCCTCCTGAAACACGTCGGAAGTGACATTTTCCGGCGAGTTTTGACGCTGTATGTGAGGTTCTTGAAGGAAAGAACGAAAGGGTATGACATGGGTTCAGAGACTGCATCATTGAGTTCGAGAACTTGGTGTGCCGGAGAGTTGTTGGTGCCGGCGGAGTCGCCGAGTTGATGTAAGAGCCCACCGGACGTCGGTGGCGCCTGAGGTTTGGGCTTCATGGTGAGATCTTGGAGCTCCATGGTTTATCTTGGACACAAAATTGGAAGGTCACTCGCCACCAATCACTTCCAGCAGCAGAGATTAGTATTGCTCAAGTGGTTAGAGTCAGCTGGAAACTCCATTTATATAGCAAGCAGAGAAAGAGAGAGAAGAGAAGGATACCTCGGTAGATGACAAATGAGAAAGTTACTTATTTTGAATTTATGGAAAAAGTTAGCAGACAACTTGGTAGATGACAAATGAGATTTCAGGTGACAAACTGCCAAAGATACTTGTCTTTTCATCAATGCAAGTTTACAATTTGTCTATACGACAGCGGTGATTATTTCACATTTAACTTAAGCCATCCATTAACCTACGTGTATTGGTTATAAGTAGTTTGTTCCGGTGGAAGTTGACAGTTTTGAGTGTATTCCGTGGGTGAGAAGTTGCACTGCCGTCCACTACTTGTTTTTCTATGTATTTTCTATGTATTTCGACTACTACAAAGTCCAATCTGAGAGTGTGTGTGTGTGTGTATGTGTGAGAGAGAGAGAGTGAGATTTCTTGTGAAAATGATATTAACCAAGTTGACAATAAGATTAACTTGGTGAGGATTGAGGACAATCTATAAATTGCTTATTCAGTCCAATGAAAATGATTGAGTACAAAAACATGGGTCATCATCTTCTTTTGGTCACCAACTCATCCAAGTTAGATAGCATAAAATGTATAATAACCAAAAAAAAAAAAATATATATATATATATATATATATATATATTTTGTTATTGAAAATTAGTCCCTCATATTTTTTTACGCATCCTCATATTTGTTTTTACTTACGGGGACATTATAAACTACAGATAAACATAGATAACAACGTACAGATAACAATCCAGGTTTGTGAGAGTCAAACTTTAAATCTTAAGGTAATATCCATTAAATCTTTTTCATTTGAACAACTCACATTTGCAAACTTGAACTAAAATTTCATTCAAGTTTGATTTTTAAGATATACAGCTCAAAGTTTAATTCAGATAGAAATCGAGTTGAATTTGGGTTTGAGTGTCGGGGTTACTCAACTTGAACTAAAATTTGGGTTCGATTGGATTAAATTGAGATTGAAACTGGATTCCATAATTCAAATTTGATTATAAAAACTTCAAATCCCAACTCAAACACTGCTCGATCTAAATCAAATTCAGATTTCTTGATCAACTACAAACTCATCAAGTTATCCTACAATATATGCAATAACGTCTTTGTTTCGAAAGGGGAAAATAAGAGGGGCTTCAAACTATCTGGATTTGGTGAGCAGTACTAATAACCTCAAAAAAAAAAAAAAAGCAAACTTGGTAGGATGTCATTATCATATAAAATCTTCATGCATACTTCTTTCTTTTCAATGTAATTTACATGTTCATGTCAATTGTAAACTTGTACCATTGCTATTATTTGAAAATGACTGTCATTGTGTTATTCGAATTTGATTCAATGTAAGAGTGTAGTATAGTGCATGAGACCGAGTTTGGGGAACCAGTTTTTTGCAATTTTTTTTTAAAAAACAAGATTTTTTTAACAAAAAAATAAAATAAAATAAAAAATAAGTTGAAGTATCCAAATGAGTTATTGTATGAAGTCCTCATGCATCCATATTATGAAAAACAAGCGTGTCGTGTTATTTTGAATGCAATGGTTCAATATTTATGGTGATTACCCGATGACTATGTATAGGACATGCCTCCTATCTATAAGTCTTTATATCTTTCCTTCACACGCCTTCTTTTCCTCACGAAATCCATTTTTCAAAAACCGACTGCTTGTGTTGATGGAATGTCCCCATTGTTTTTGGCCTTATTTAAATATGTTTCTTCAAAATCTGGGCTTAGCTAGAATAGGTATGGCTTTCATCTACGTTGAATATATATAAAATAAAGTAACTTACAATTCAAATCTCAAAAGATAAATAAAATAATTTTTGTTATTCGCGATTGAGTTCAATTTAAATTTTACTTTAAAGTTAATCTAACGGTTAATATTAACACCCTAAATTTAATAGGAAAAATAGGTCTCTAAAAGTGTGTTTGAAATGACTTTTAAAAAGTATTTTTAAAAATTATTTCTCATAAATACTTAAAAAAAAATAATGTTTGAAACCGCTCCACCATTACCTCTACTACCACCACCCCATCGCCACCACCGTCGCCATTATTGTCGTCGCCGTCATTATCACCTCCGTCGCCACCGCCCCAACCTTTGTCGCCGTCGTCGTCGCCGCCACAAACGCTATCACCACCACCACCCTCCCGATGCCGTCGCCACCACCACCACCACCACAACCATCATCACCATTATCACCGCCGCTGTCGCTGTCGCCGTCACCACCACTATCGTCGTCGTCGTCGTCGCCACCACCCCCATCGCAGCTGCCACCACCATCGCCACCATGGTCATTGTCACCCATTACAACCATCATCATCTCTTACCACCACCATTGCCACCTATCACCCCTATTATAAACGATACTTAAAATCATTTATTTATACTATATGTTTGTGATTTAATTTTGTATATGAATATAAATATGTTTATAATTTTTTATTTTTTATTACTCATTGTCTTCAGGCACAGACAATAACTAGTATATTTATAATAAAAAACATGATAAATTTCAATAAATTTATCCAACGGTCTCAAATAGACTCATCCAACTCCCACTAATATCCCTCTTAAAACTATTCACATTACACCGTACCTTATAACACAAATTATGTCTAGTATATATCTATATATATATATATATATAGGAAGAACTCTTAGATAAAATGAAACAAAACAAAACAAAAAAATAGGCCAAGCGCACAACACTCCTTCCAATGTGGGTCTGAGATAACTCTCACGACTAGTTTCTCCAATTTTTCAACCAACATGAATTTTCAACAGGTACAAGTGAATGTAGAGATGATAAACATGAGTGAATGAAGTCTCTTTAAAACGGAAAAAGATTATCTACAACATTCATTCGTGATATGCGTTAGTGATGGCACAATATCACTTGTTATTTTATTCGATTACTAACGGAAGTTTTGTGCACCAGATTCAACCAATAAAAGTGAGGTGTAGAGTTGTAATGAGCTACTTTGTGAACCTTATTGCTTAGAACTTGTATATATTTGGTTTTGGTTGAATATCATTATATAATCCACCATTATGCAACTCAATCATTAGACAAATTATACTTATATGGCCATTGAATTACTTAATTAACCACCTTCTTTCTAGAGAAAACTATATATGTAGAACAGTGTCTAAGGGCAAAGTTGACCAAACATTGAAGTTATCTATTTGAATTTATGGAAAAAGTTAGCAGACAACTTGGTAGATGACAAATGAGATTTCAGGTGACAAACTGCCAAAGATTACTTTTGCATTCAACAAGTAAAGCCCCATACTTGTCTTTTCATCAATGCAAGTTTTCAATTTGTCTATACAACTGCGGTGATTATGCTTCAAAGTACAAGTAAATTTCATTGATTAGCAGTTATGAAAACCATTATTTTCTTTCCACCTTAATCACCACAACATCTTAACTAACCATAAACTTCCTATCAACTGCACTCAAATGTCTCTTCTCACTCCATTCTTTCTCCATTGCCTTCTTTCTATTTCACTTTTTTACAATCACTTATACGAACAGCTATGTAGAAGACCCATTAATACTATTATGAAAAAGGAGGATTTAGTGTCCACGTGTAAAATACCTATAATATTCTTATCTTCTTTTTATCTTAACCGCTCATAACTCTTTAATTACACTATTATCTTCTATTAATTGCAATCAGCTACTTATATTACTAGTAATGCATAACTTGCGTTGCACATAAATAAATGTAAATAATATTTTTTTTATAGAAAACATGAATTATATGAATAATTAAATTAAATAATAAATTAGGCGTCAAATAATTAATCTGTATTTTAATTATTACTAAATTTAATCTGTCATTTATTTATGTATCTCTCCGATCCTTTTAGTCATTTGTCTATCTAATTATATTATAGAATTATTAATTTTTATTTTGTCAAAAAATTTGATCAAATCGCTTATAATATTATTATATTTTTATATACTAAAAAATAAAATATAGTATGTATTTGACCATGGAATACAATGTGATAACTACATATATATAATAATTTAATATATATATATATATATATACGACTTTACTTCTTCATATAAATATAAAAAATTGTATGTAACTATACTACTAATAAATGGGTTCAAAAGAATTTAGAAGTTCTTATAAAAGAGTTCAAAATAAATTGAAAGTCAAATAGGAGTAAAAAAATAAAAATTAGATAAAAGTATATAGGTGGGTATAATTGATTTTATTACAATAATTAGGGATAAAATAGGAAATCAAAAATAATTTAATATATATCGGACTTCACATCTTCATATAGATTTAAAAAATTGTATGTAAATGTACTACTAATAAATTGATTCAAAAGAATTTAGAAATTCTTATAAAAGAGTTCAAAATAAGTTGAAAGTCAAATAGGAGTTAAAAAATAAAAATTAGATAAAAGAATATAGGTTGGTATAATTGATTTTATTATAATAATTAGGGATAAAATAGGAAATCAAAAATACTTTAATATATATCGGACTTCACATCTTCAAATAGATTTAATAAATTGTATGTAACTGTAATACTAATAAATGAGTTCAAAAGAATTTGAAAGTGCTTATAAAAGAGTTCAAAATAAGTTAAAAGTCAAATAGGAGTAAAAAAATAAAAATTAGATGAAAGTATATATGTGAATATAATTAATTTTATTATAATAATTTTGGATAAAATAAAAAATTAAAAGTTTTTTTCAAATGGTGACATTTATAAATAGTATAGATATAGATATAGAGTTACTTACTTCTCCAATGCCTTACTCTCCATCTCGCTCTTTTACAATTATGCACAAGGTGGCGGTGCGATGGACCCATTCGTATACGATATAAAGGATTAATTGCTGTCAAT